ATTTTGCAAGTCCTTATTATTGGTAAGTTGATCAGAATTATTTTCTTTAATTCCATTATCATCAGTTCCAAGTGACTGCCAATACTCGAAGATCGACTACTATCACTATTATTAGAAGTTCTACAACATTTCATGTTAGCCATCAACCTCCGACTGTCATTCCATCCAGGCACGTTTTGCGACACGTGTTGCACCTGTACACAAGGCATCTCCAGGCAATTTTTTTTTTACAACACAGGGGGCACACGAACATGCGGCTCACCTAATGGTAAGTGACTACCGCCGTCCATGATCACCCACAACACCAGCGTCATTGCAGGTGTGCTGCCGGCCTTTTAAAAAGGAATATACTCTTTTCTTAAAGGTTATGTTGTTGTATCAGTTCGGAAATACTGCTGCTGGAAGTTAATTCCAAAGAATGGTTGTGCGTGGAAGAAAGTGCCTTGAAAAACGCACGGTGGAAGATCGCCACTCGTCCAGATGATTGTATTTTTTTTTTTATAAACAATAATAATAGAATTTAAAAACAAGATAATTTTAAATAGCTTACTAGTTTTATTTAGTACTTTGGGAATTCATCAAGTATTTTTTTTTCCTTTAAAAATAAAAATAACTGTATTTTTGTCTTTAATAAATCGATTTCCAAAGAAATGGAAGAAAAATATTATTATATTTAACTTTATATACGGCTGTGAGTATTTATCATTCCCTCTCGGTACCGATCAGTCTTTCCAAGTCATTAAATACGCCAGTTCCAATATCAGAAGCAATCTATAAATCTCAGATGCAACGGTTGGTACTTTAAATAATCCACAGCTTACATTTATAGAAAATCCATTTTAAACCAACTTTAAAGAAGCAGTATGTTGTTATATTTTATTTTTAAACCACTTCGAGTTGAAGGAGGTTTTTTTTTAATGGGTGATAATAGAATGATAATCCCACCTGCGCTATCAGTATACGCTGACGGGGCACCAGTGAGTGATGATAGATGAGAATGAAAGCAGGTCAGTTAGCCCATCGTGACGAATCCACTAGAATTAACCACTGGATGGTTTCCAGGGGGAACCGCGTGGAGGTCGACCTGACAGTGTATACTACTAACAATGGATTCATTAGACCCCATTACTAACAATCCCTTCCCTCCAGTTGAAGGAGGTTAGTTCACGTATAATACCCAATACGAGGGTATTGTGTATTTTACGTGACTTCTTGCGTAATTCTGGAATGATTTTGAGTTGTATTTTCTTGATTATTTTCATGACAGTGACGATCTTTAAAACTACGCAACTGATTTTAATGCGGTTTTTTTAAATAGAAACAGTGATTCAAGAGGAAGATTTACCAGAGGGAGACTTTTACAAAAGTCGTTTGCTTGGTCACCTCTGTCCCATTCGTGTTTCAACCGTGAAGCATCTGTGTTTGCATGGCTGTGTTTCGGTTTGAAGAGTGGAATATGCCGTGAATTTACTGGGTACAGATGAATATCACCTGAGTCCTCAAGAATGGCAACGCATGGGGGGTATCATTGGCAAAACAGTGTACTCTGTTATGTCCATGGTACTGCTCATGTCTATAGGCGACGGTGACCAATTTCCATCAGGTGAACCGTCAGCTTGTTTGCCATTCTAAATTGTATAAAAAAAAAATTATAATACATGCATAATATAGTAAAGAAACACTAACACTTTTTTTCGTACTTATAAGTACATCACGATAAATTAAAAAAGTATATATTCGAAATTATTTTCTGTAGTATATTTAGTATCAGTATAACACCCGTGCGAAGCCGGGGCGGGTCACTAGTAAATATATAAAATATCAATAAATTTTCATCACAAACAGTATTTCATAATGTTTTAGCCTTACTTTTAAACTAACGCTGTTAATATTATAAATGCAAGAGTTTGGATGAATGGTTGTTAGTCTTTCACACTAAAACTACTGAAAGGATTTAAATGCAATTTAGTACAAGGATAGGTATTATGTTACTAATTCATATAAGAAAAGTTACGAAATACAACTAGTATAAAATATCACTATTAAATTGTTGGAATTCCAATTAATCCCAGTTTAATCCATTTTTAAGCATTGAAAATACAAAGAAACACTTCCAACTTGACTCGCTTTTCGATAAAATGAAATTTTAAATGAACCTCCAAGTTAAAAGCTTACTTCAAAGTTTTTTAATATCGACTTGACTCTTGTTTATTTGAATTTCGGTTGAAAATTTCAACTGGGACTGAGAACCGTTGCGAAATAAATCTTTGTGAGTAACTAAACTATATATTGGTGACTAGTTATTTCCTGTGACCTTACTCATATAACATCTATTAACTTCTATTCCCATAAGAGTGTCAAGAATGACTTATAGTAAATGTGTAATGCTCATAAGAAATTTTCCCGAGGAAAATTGCCTACAGAACAAATTAATTAATATAACAAAATAATGAAAAACAAAACATCTTCTATAGCATTTATCATGAGGAGTGCTCTGAGGAATTGTTCGGATTGATACCTGCTGCTGATTTTCATCATTGTACAACACGCAATAAACTAAAATTTCATCCCAACCATCTGGACGAATGGCGGTCCTCCACCGTGCATTTTTCAAGGCACTTTCTTCCACGCACAACCACTCTTTGGAATCAACTTCCAGCAGCAGTATTTCCGAACCGATACGATAACATAACCTTCAAGAAAAGAGCATATTCCTTTTTAAAAGGCCGGCAGCACACCCGCAATGCCGTTAGTGGGTGATCATGGGCGGCGGTAGTCACTTACCACCAGGTGAACCCATGCTCGTTTGCCCCCTGTGTTGTAAAAAAAAATCAACCCATGAATCAGTTAATTAAAAAAATAGTATAATAGATAGATAGATAATTTATTTACATTACTTACAACACACAAACAATTACAGACATATATAGACATGTACAGTAAAAAAAGATAAAAGAATAAATATACAAAAAATAACAATAAAATATAAACACCAATAATAAACGAACATGAGGCTGGCTACTCTTTACAATAACATACACATAATCATCATCATCATCATCATCATATCACCATTTAACTGTCTACTGCTGGTCATAATACTCCCCTTTGGGGGGTTTTGTCAGTAGTTGCCGCGCTTTACAAGCGGATTGACAACCGCAGTTAGGCTTTGGAGATATTTTAAGAGGAACGCTGCTGCCCATCCCTCGCCTTCCCTTAGTCGCCTCTTACGACACCCACGGGAAAGTAAAGGGTGGCCTATTCAATACCGGGACCACACGGAATAATAAATAATAATAATAATAAAATCTCTTTACACTAATCTTTATTTTAACATAAATATTCTATAGTCATCCAGTCGGCGAAATTCTAGCAAATTTAACGCAAATACGTCTTATTCTGATACCTGTATAGTCTTGAGTAGTCTCAATACAAGAGAACGAAAAACTTGGTTGACCAACACTTCTTAACTAAATATCAAATAAGTAACATCTACGTCGTTTTACACAAAAATAACTCTTATTTTATTCCACGTCCTACATTATTAAAAAAAAAGATACCAGAAGAAAATTCAAGTCATAGTATAATAAAGAATCCCTCCAAAATCTCTAATATATATAAAAATGCGTGCGGTACAAAAATCCATCGTTTACTATCATCCCACTATCAATCAATCAACCACGTCCGCCGGCCGCTTGAAACGGGTTAAGTGTTCAATAATAAAACTCAGCTTAAGGGCAAAATTATCGGAAAACCGCGAACCACCTGGGCTCGGATTATTGAAAATATTTTAGGGGAAACTAAACGTTGCAGTAAAGGGTTAAGTGCGTATACTCGAAACGTTTTTCCTATATAAATTTACATTTTCACGACGTAATATCCCAATATGGCTTCATTATACCTTATTTATTATTAAAAGTACCACCTTACCTAATAAATATAATATTTCAAACCCTAGCACAAAAAGGGTTATGTAGGCTACGATAAGTTTGAATCCTTAGATTACGAGTATATAGATAGAGCATCGAATATCAAAAACAGGTCAAAATATTATACAGAATAGGACAACTTTTTTATGCGTGGTGCGTGAATTGGGATACCAGATTATAAACTATTTCTTTAAATCAAGGTATGTAAAAGTGGTTGTAATTTAAAAGAAATAAAATTTTATTATTGTTATTTATTTAATCATCTTTAATATTTGAGTTTATTTATATGTTTAATTATTATTCTTTTATTGTTATATTAAAATTAAAACAATAAATATTTAAAATAATTTACCTCATTCATGAAATTTTTATTCCGGTATGAAAATCTTGTTTTACGAATACTTGCAACACTGAAAAATGGCGCGAATTCTATATTGTACAGACTAAAAAATCTAGTCAGTTATTTAGACAGTTGGCTGAATAAATGTTAACTTGTTTTTGGCATTCGATGCTCCATCTATACAATATTATATTGTAAAACAATACAATATGCTATCAGCAACTGTAGAAGAAGGCAGTTGGCTTGCCGTCTACCACATCAAACATAAATATTCTCGGGAAAATGTAGGCATGTTCAACAAATGCCTTTACAGATTAAATATAAAATTATAATCTCACAACAATGTAAATGTGAAAGTTGGTGAAGATGTAAATCGTGCTTAAACGGCTAAACAGATTTAAATGAAATTTTAGTTTTCCAGTAGGTTATATGGTAACTTAACATATACCTACACTTGATATGTAGTGATAATTAAATCTGTGATAGTTTAGGATACTGAGTTGATCTTATGATTTATTTTGTCATTTACAATCAATCAATATATAAAAAAAGTAAAAAACTGTACATTTATTGTCATACAAGTATTAATAATAATTTAATTCTTAAATTTTAATGTTACTGTATTAGAAATATATATAAATGAAATACCACATTGATATAAATAACTAAGATGCAGAAGTCATCGCCACGAGTATAGACCGTCACCGAAGTTTATTTCTGTCCTGAGAGTAACGGGAATTCAAAATAGAAAAGTTCATTTCATCTCTTCAGAGCAGTTGCACGTACGCAGAAACCAAACGACAAAATTAAAACACCAAGCTAAAATCTGGTTTTCGTGCATTATTTAACTACAAAAATTCTCCGTAACTATTCTTCGATTAAGCGTCACTTTTTAAAAACGTCCGCTCGCAATGGCGGCTAGATTTCAAATGACCGCCATCTTGTTTTTGTCTATAATATCAATAGTTTTTGTGAACGGCTGTGATATTGACGATGTGGCAATATATAAAGTGAAAGTGCAGTTTTTGTGGAGTGAAGAGAGATTCCCGAAGGACTATCCGACGAATCGTCCTAAAGCACAGTGGTCTCCTATATTCGGTCTGTTATTAACTTTACCTAACATTATTTATTAGTAAATTCTTCAAAACTAACACCTAATTCATACAAAATAATATTTTCATTTTAATATTTATCCTAGTGAAGCCGATTTTGAGTGTATCCATAAAATTATTTAAATGTAGAAAGCAAATTTAGAGAACTATGCTTTAAAATCCTTCGTTCTACTCTAACAACTTATTATTATGTATGTTTATAGTTTGGTTAGTGTTAGATTCTTAATACTAACTCTAACCGTATGGCATTAAGCTCGCCATTTATACAAACTTATTGTGCAATAAAGAATATATAAATTAATAAATATATAAATAAATACATACATATACATAAATAAATACATAAAATCACAAAATTTTAAACATAAGTTTAGAGAATGAGATTTTAAAAGACAGCTACGTTACGCTTTATTTCAAATAATCACAGGCCAACCTTTAAAATATAATTCCAATATGTAATTTCAAAAGAAAATAAGTGTCAATGGTCCCAGTATAGAATGAACCACCCTTTCCTTTTCCGTTAGTGTCGTAAAAGGCGGGGAACTTAATACTCGAGGGATGGGCAGCAGCGTCCCTCATAAAACATCACCAAAGCCTAATTGCGATTGCCAACCCAACTGCCAAGCATGCTAACTATTGGCAAACCCCCTCCCTATGAGAGAAGCCTATAACTTTTTTTTTATACAACTTAGAATGGAAAACAAGCTGACAGCCTACCTGATGGAAAGTGGTAACCGTCGCCTATAGACATGAACAGTACCATGGACATAACAAAGTATACTGTTTCGCCCATGCGTTGCCATTCCTGAGGACTCAGGTGTTATTTCTTTGTACCCAGTAAATTCACGCCATATCTCACCCTTCAAACCGAAACACAGCCATGCAAATACAACTGCTTCACGGTTGAAACACGAATGGGACAGATGTACCCAAGCAATCGACTTTTGTACAGTCTCCCTCTGGTATACTTATGAGACAGTGAGGCTAATATGATGATAAAGATGATGATTATAGAAATAAATGTAACAATGAGAATAAGACATAACAATACATAATAATTACGAATTCACAAATTTACTTAATTAAATACACAATAATCAATATTGCCAAAAGCGCTGTTTAATTAAAGGGTTCAAGCCCACTTAATACAATTATAAATGGATTTACTGCCTTCTAGTAATTATAACTAAGTTGTTAATTTTACAAGAGATTCATTTCAGCTCGTTACTATAGGAAACAAGCCCTCGTTATAAGAAGAAATACTGATTTCCTTAACGAAAAGTTTATTTGAATATTTTGCGACTCATTAAATTGTTAACCAAATCTGATAATAAAAATTATAACTAGATAGAAGATATTTAAAAAAATATGGGAGGGGTATTATTTGAAAAATTAAAAAAAAGAAATTATGTGAGCAGTAGAAGACAAAATAATGTTTTAGGATGTTTGTTCATCTGTCCGTCTGTATGTTTGTTCCGGCATCACAAAGATGAATGCGGTTTTCACATTTAAAAATGGTTTATCTCGATACGCCATCTGGAATTGTTTTTTTTTTTTATTATTATTATTTTACTAATATAATAAAATTTTAACTATAATTTTATCTTTGCAAAAGAGATATTAAAGAAGTAATGAGAAGCGGGGTCTAAATAAGAATGATAGAAATCAAAGCATTATATTTTGGAATGTTTGTTGTCTGTTTCTCTGTTTGTCTGTATGTTTCTTTATCACATTTACCAACACCCAAAAACTACTACTAGGTTTTCACAGCAGTATGCACAAAAATCTCACTTAATGTTACTTTATCTAACTTAAAAGTTATCATATATTCATTCATTTATATCCGGCATGTGTTTTATTATTTATTTTTTTTAACTTGAATCCACAATTATATAATTGATTCATTGAATTGAACAGAAAATAAGTATATATATATATATATATATATATATATATATATATATATATATCTCCATATAATACCCCACACATTTATAGTGTATTTATAGCTATTTTTTATTGAACTAAAAAATTTTTTCTAGAAATGATGTATATGGTAAAACAACGTTTGCCGGGTCAGCTAGTATACATATATGTTTAAGAATGTATTTGTGTACACAAATACACCTAACAATAAAAATGGGTAACCTCACAATTTATTCTGCTATGTTTATGATGCTGTTCAGGCCGTGAGTTTGTTCGCCATTTTTGGAATATCATAAAATAGGTAACCGACATAACTTGTAAATAACATTTAATTCGGCCAACAGGCCTCCGAGTTTGTAACTTTTATTTATGTAATTACCGCACAAACAATGATGGAGGGAAGAAAAAACAACGGCGAACTAGAGCAAGGAGTTTCCTTTTATCTCTCAAGTTAAGTGACATTTCGCGGTTTCGCTTGTTCCAGATAAGGCGGTATTTATTTGTCCCGCCTTTTGCTCACGGCCGATGTTATCGGATTGTGCTTTTGGACGATTTATAAGTGTAGTGATTTCTTTTGTTTGTACTAACATCTGGGGGTCAACCATGAAATGAAATTCCGAATTTTCGTATTTTTATTAATTTCGTTAGTCATATATCTTAATATAAACGTCCAAAGGAACGATATTTTAGCATTTTTAGTATTTTTAAACAGTATTTATATATATTATGTAATTTTAACATCAAATTTGTGTTTCGTTCAACCTGATCTGATAATGGAAATATTAGTGCCCGCGGGTTCGTTCTCGGGAAAATGCTAATTAAATGATTTAATGATTATGACGTCACATTTTTATGTAACTTAGAATGGCAAACAATCGCCTATAGACATGAACAGTACTATGGACATAACAGAGTATACTTTACCGTAATTATACTGCCGACATTTATGCCGATAATTATGTGCCGACCATGATACCTTTCATCCATTGCCATTCCTGAGGACTAAGTTGTTACGCCTCTGTACCCAGTAATTTCATTGCCATATCCCACTCTTCAAACGGAAACACAACCTTGCGAACAACAAACAGCGACACAGTATACTCTGTTACATCCATAATTTATAAGCGACGTTTACTAATTTATATCATTGTAATTTACTTAAAAACAACAATAGAGTTTCATCTAATAAATTAATTTCTAAAAATAGAATTAATTACTCGTATAATAAGAGTAATATTCGCTTGCACATTCAAATACGAAAGAATCTTTGCGCTACCATTCATATTTATCACTAATTTTAAACATAGACATGTTATTTTTGTTTTACTCTCAACAGTTATATAATCCAGCTCCTTTGGTATTTAGAACTGCGTTTCATTGCAGAAACACGCAAAAGAATATTACACTACGCTCCATTTATAAATGTCGCAGAGAATTGAAAAAGTTAGGAATTTCATGAAATACCTAAAAATTCTCGAAATCACGAAACTTATTGTACAATTCGATCTATACAAGTCATCATATCAATCTTTAACTGTCCACTGCTTAACATAAGCCTTCCCTGGAAGGTTTTGCCAATAGTTGCCACGCTTGGCAGGGGGTTTGGCAACCGCAGTTAGCCTTTGAGGATATTTTAAGAGGGACGGTGCTACCCATCGCCTTTCCTTAGTCGCCTCTTATGACACCCACGGGAAAGAAATAGTGAAATATTTTAGTATTTAGATTGAAATGAAAATAAGTTAATTGTTTAAAATTGCTAACTTCTTATTGGGACTGAGCATTAATATCAATTATTTCTTAAATGTTTTTAATTTTAATTGTTCAAAAAACAATTAATATTAAAATAGTATGCCTACTGTTGAGACAAACACTTGGGACATCATCCGTTTTTATATAAATTATATTTTTGCAAATAAATAATTTATTTATTGATTTATTCTTGCAAAAAAAGAAAAACAAATAATGACATGGAAATATTCAACCTATATACTACTCATGTACGTTAATATCATAATGGTAATATAATATGTATTATAAAAATGTAATCCTAATAGGATTTTCTAATGATATAAAATGAAAGTGCGTATAGGTGTTTGGATATATATATATATGGTATATTTATATATTTGTTACTCAGTCACACTTAAACGACTGAACAAAACTTAATGAAACTTGGTGTACATCCTAATATTAGTATATTAGATATTTTATATAGTAAATCACGCTAGCAAAGCTGCGAGAAACAGCTAGACAATAAAATAATAAGGATACAGAGATTCTGCTTTTAACCTGTATTTAAGTAAATAAAAGTATCATTCATTTAAGAATAGTATTTTACTCGATCTTGATGGGATAAAAATCTGTATTTATATTATTGTATTTAACTTTAATTATTCACTTGTCATTGTATATTTTTATTTATGATGCAATAAAGAGTTAAATAATATATTTCACTCGTCACCGTAAATTCCGTCAAGACAATATCGATCCTGTCGTTGTCTAATTTATTCGCGGAAGCGGTTCTTTGAACACGTTAACTAACAACAACCAAAAGTTCCTCTATATACTAACTTAATCCAATGAAATGATGGTAGTATATTTGACGTACATTTCGTAATTTCCCTAAATAGGAATTTCATGGAATTCCTAATATCATTGTTTTCCTGCGACATATACGACGTTGCAGAATAAAATAATCTTATAATATATATATATATATAAAATGTTGTATCAGCCTTTAACTGTCCACTGCTTAAAATGAGCCTTCCCAATAAGTAGTTTTGCCACTAGTTGCATTGCCATCCGCTTGGCAGGCGGATTAGCAACCGCAGTTAGGCTTAAGAGATGTTTTAAGAGGGACGCAGCTGTCCATCCCTCGCCCTCTCTTAGTCGCCTTCTACGACACCCACAGGATAGGAAGGGATATAAAAAAATATAACCTAATAATCTAATCAGAATGAATCAAGATGCCAGTTTCAATGTATCCACATCAGTATTTCGCAGCGCGAGCCGCCTCGTGACCAGAAAACGAAGTTGTCTCGTCTCCATTATATTATGAGA